ATTTCTCTATATCTGAGAAAGAGACTGATTTCACAATTCAGTGATATCAACATGGTGTGAGTTGCTTGTAATATCTTGCAGTTAAAACATGTTCTGATATCACTCACACTGCCTCACTACTCACTCAATGAAACATTGATTCAACACCTCAATGTTGAAAGGCTCTATTACACATTATACATTATTTGAAAGAGATCATGAATCTGGGCATTTTCTACGGACGCGGCTCATATAAGAGGTCTGTTTCTACTGATCTTTCTGTTTCTATCAATCTTTCTGTTTCTACTGATCTTTTCATTTCTATCAATCTTTTCATTCTCTCTGATTTCCCTGATGATTTCTACCTACCCTTCAGCTACTCGGATTCTGATTGAGCCGGCTTCTTGAATGATGATAGGAAATTAACATTCAGCTACATTTTTAAGCTCACAGATGGTCTGATTTCATGATATTCAGCAAAGCAACCTTGTATATCTCTAAGTTTCAATGAGACTGAATATGTGACTCTTAGTGAGGCAGTCCATGAGACAACATGAATCTGAAATCTTATGATTGAGATTGACTTCATTACTACATCTCTGATACAGATTCTCACTGATAATAAGAGTGTCATAGATCTCACAAAGGTGACAGTCATTACAGTCTGAAGCAAGCACATTGACACACATTTTCATTTTTCACATTGACAGTTAAATCAGAGAGTCATTGATTTAGAATATATTTTCATCACTCAGATAATAGTGAATGAACTCATTAAATCTCTAAACACTGTGACATTTGCATGATTCATGATTTTACTAGGTCTTACAGGTGTAAAAGTTGAGAATGTTTAATTTTACATTTGTATTTGATTTTGACAGACTATCTTGATGATTTGAGTGTTTTTGTATGTAATTCTTATTATCTTGAGAAGAAGTGTTGACTGTTACAGCTGTTGCGGTTAGCAATCCCACTAGATCACGTGACCCACCACTATATTATGTTCTTGTAGATAGATCTATTAATACAACCTTTAACTATTCTACAAATACACTGTGAATTTATCTCAGCAAGCTCAGACACTTTTCCAGATATTCATTGCTGTTTTAACACTGAATTGATGATTATGTCATGAGCTAACCTCAAATAAGCAATAAGCTAACTCAAATAGTAAAACCAGATCATGTGAGTGATGATTTGCGGAGCGAAGCGAAGCAAATATATGATGAAAACCCTGGTTATTAAAAGTGAAGAATTTTCTTTTTGAGGTTCTTGACATGAATACAGCTCACTGATTAATGTAGAATTAAGCAAAGCATAATTCTGTGACATTGCACTATATTCATGAATCTCTGCATGCTCACAATGTATTCATCTTTCATCTTATTAATTATCTACTCTGTACAGATTCTTGAATAATAGATCACATATCTCATCAACTACCTACTCTGTACAGATTCTTAAATAATAGATCACACATCTCATCAACTATCTACTTTATACAGATTCTTGAATAGATAACACATCTGATCAACCATCTTTCATAGATTCTCAAGAATGAATAATGTATTAAAAGTCTGTATTTACTTCTTACAAAATCAGTCTCTTGATTAATTTATTTCTTTACAGCATTCTACTACTTCTACAGCTGTCTGCCTTCAATGCCGCACTCAGAGAACTCAGGTATTGTAATCTTCTCTCATTACATCTTTTCTATTGCTGATTATCTCTTTACACTGTGTAGAACTATAAATGAACATGTGCAGTGAAATCAGATTCTTCTACAGTCACAGATTCTGTGATAAATGAGCCTGAACTTCTCTCATCATCTCAGACATGTCAACACTTCATATAATCAACAGCAGCCTCTCAAGCCTGTGAACAGTCTATTGAAATAGATATGTCATCTGAGATTAAGTTTTATCACTATGAAATTCATAGTTCTGACACATCTTTGTTGACAGCAGTCTGTAAAAAGAAAACTGCTATTCAAAGAGCTCACTATGTTATCAGATGTCATAGAGAACATCTCTTATTAACTCTATTCTTAACTCAATTGAGAAAATAACTGTGACTGTCATCTTTGATAATTAATTCATCTCTCAGTTCTGCAGATCTCTCTTCAGTCTTTCATCAATCACCTGTGTTATCATTCAACTTATTTCCAAGTCAATCTCATTTCACTTTTACAGATATACTTTCACTGCAGATATCTTTTATATCATTTTTCTTATTCTCAACTTCTCAAAGTTATATTCCTCAGAGCTCTGCAGATCTGTTCATTAATTGACTTAATAGAAGAGTTAGCAGTCTCTTAACATCTCAGCACTCTACATAACCTAAAAGCTCAATTGACACATCAAATATAAAAGTCCTCACAATTCTTCAGAAACATAATCAGTTACAGACTGCAATTGTCTCAGATTCTCTGATGAATTCTCAGAGTTCTACTTATCTTACAGATTCAGCTGTTAATTCTGATAATTGACAGTGTATGCAGGAATTTCATCATACACTTGAAGATTTACAGATGAAGATCTGTAGCTGTTGTTAAATTCACTGATTCAGAATGAATCTTCAAGATGATATTTGTACTCATTATCATGCTGTTGATTCAAGACAGCTGTCTGATGAGCTGTTTTTATTCTCTTAAGAGAATAACATTGATCTCAGTGATCTTGATTCAGATCTCTCTGTCCTCAGTCAGGTTAAAGAGATGTTAATTTCATATATGCATGTCTTCATTGAGATCTGTCAAGTCAGAGAATATCAGTATAAGTATAAAGATCATATTATTAGCTTTCTTAGAGTCACTGACTGTGTTTATGACACTCTCTCACTTCTTTCTAAGAATCTTGATATTATTATATTGAAGTCTTCAATTTCAAATGCAGATCTCTGCTTGCAATATCAGTTTCATCAAGATTTCATAATTTACAAAGAAGCTGTTGCTCAATAACTAATCTATCTTTATAAAAATCATCTCAGTTATCAGAACATTATGATTGATGAAGAGACTTGAAATCAGTTATCTGAAAATGAAGATATCTCTGATCAGATTTCTTTTCATAAGCTTGATAAGCAAGAATTGATGATCATTGAGAATGAGAATCATTTAAATCTTGACAACTTGAATATCTCATCTGAATACTCTGATGTTTCAGATCTTTTAATCTCATGATCTGAAGTTGAGCAACTTCATCATGAACTTGAAATATCACAGTAAGAACAGATTGATCATCTCACTCTGTCTTCAGCCTGTAATACATTACTTAGTGAGTTTAACAACACTCACTCACTCTTTTCTTGAGCCTTTTCAACACTTTTCCCATGAGATGAAGCTGAATTCATTCTCTCTAGACAAAGAATAATTAGTCTTACAGATTATATGCAGTTCCTTCTTAAATATTATAATGACTACTTTGTCTGTCATAGCTGTTTTTGATATGTTCTTTTCAATTCTCTATTCTATAGATAGATTAATAATCAGGACCACTTTTTCTACAATCAAACTGATTCTCTTATTAAGAACCTCACTCTAGAGAAGCTGCAGACTGCTTTTGCTACTGACACTTCACAATCTGCTGCAATTTTGAATTCACTTACACAGTTTGCAGAGAGTCTTCATGAAACCTGTTCTTTTTAAGGTGTAAAATGTTGTCAGCTATAAGTCTATGTTCAAAATATTGAATCTTCACATCTATTTCTTACTCTCTCAGCTGCAGATCATCACTGAGATGATCTGATGCATTACTTCTCTGACTATGTCATTTAAAAGCACAGCACTGATCTTGAGAGGTTGAAGTTTGTAAGAGATAGTATTTATGACTATCTCACTGTAGTTGCACATTACTTTCATCTACAACTTGCAATCTTCAAGGAAAAGATTCTAGACCTGAAATTCAAAATCCTAGATCACTGAACTCATTATGAGTGGTAAGACTGCAGATCAGTGCACTCACATAGTGTATTTTAATATAAGAATGTGCTGAATTCTGAACTTGATATGAATGAAGACTCTCATCAAGTCTTTGCTGACTACTAAGGCCTCATTATTACAGCTGAGAATTCTGAGCCTAATCACACTCAGTCTGAAGATGCACAGTTATTTCTTTCTCTCAGTCATTCTGATCAGATAAATGTCATTGAACATTTATCTGTGATTCTCAACTATGTTCAATGTCATCACTGTAGTGAAAAGTACTGTATTCATAAACACTGAGTCACTGGTAATCTACATTACTAATTTCACTTTCTGCATAAATACTGAACTGACTGTGCTATTCTCAAATCTTTGAGTAGTAGATATTACCAGCTGCACTCTCATTGTAATGACTCAATTCTTAATAACTATAACAGATTGATTACAGTTAGCTGACTAGTAAATACTGACATTGCTCCCTGCACTGGCAGCTGTGCTGTTCTTGATTATCTGTCTAAGTACATTGCCAAGGCTGAAACAGACACAGAATTCTATTATCAGATTGTTCAATAAGTGATTTCAAGAGTCAGTTCAAGCCACTCACTGCTCTCTATGATTGTTAAACTTATGAATCAGCTCATTGATAAGTGTGATTGATCTACTTAGAAGATTTATCATCTTCTTTTAAAGCTTTCTTTACAAATAGGTTCTCACAAGTCAATTACAGTTGATTGTCAGCCTGAATCTCAATATTATTATAGCTATATTCTTGAATCTGATGAATTACAATATGATTCATTCTTTTTGAAAAAATATAAGCAGTGATTAACTGAATTTGAAGATCTTTCATTTCTTGAATTTCTTTAAATCTTTTCTCACAGTCATTAAATTAAGAGATGTCTCTGTATAAAACTCTGAGTGTTGATCTACTTTTCTGTTTATCAGTTTGAAACTGATTCAGAGAACTATACTTATATCAAACTTCTTCTTCATCACTCTTTTTATTAAATTGAAGATCTCAAGATTGTTGATCTTCTCACTTCTTGACCCTCTTTTACAGAGGCCTTTAATTATTGACATCTTTTTCATAATCACTCAGTTGATGTCTATGATGAAGACATGCTGGAATCAGAACCTGAGTTTGAAGATGGTCAGAATGATGAAGAAAAGCTTGATCTCTCTTGAGTATTGCTCATCTGTCAAAACTCACAGTGTGATAATAATGATCTCATTAACACCTGAAACTGTGAACAGCTTGATCATCAGTTCTTAGATTTCAACTATGATTGAAGCTCTCATGTTGACACTTATATCAATCTTGACACAGAATTTTGAAATAATATGAAGACTGACTTCCCTGCAGACACTACTCTTCATGAATATGACTCATTCAAGACTCTAGACCCTGATCAATGCCTTCTTCATGACACTATTCTCTATCATTATACTGAGATTCTTAACAGCAGATTCTCAGATTCTTTGCTAATTAATCTAGATGATAAAGATGACACTGATAAAACTTATCTGATTATGATTTTATCTATCACTCTTCAAAATCTTGCAGAGGCTCAAGATCTCTCAACCTCAATTATTCAAGCTGTGTCAACTGGTGTAGCTGCTTACTTCATTAACACTTGAACCTTGCATGCATTATTTCAGCTTCTCATATACAAGAACATGTCATATGAATCACTCAACCCTCAAAATATTCAATCTTTGCAGGCCCTTTTTAAGGATGTTCACTATCTGTTAATTGATGAAAAGTCAATGATTGATTTACAGCAACTTTCATGAATTAATCAGACCTGTTATTATATATTCTCTCATAAGAATGCTCATTTTAATGATCTCAGTGTCATTCTCAGTGAAGATTTCTACCAGCTCTCATCTGTTTTTCAAACTTCACTCTATCATAATGAGTGTATTGATCATAAAGAAGACATTCAGAGTCATCAAATCTACTTGACTTTTAGTAAAATCATTCAACTTACTGTGACTTAATGATAAGTGAGTGAAGATGTCACTAGCTGTCAGTTTCATGAGATCTTGAAAAATCTTCATCTTGATCAGTTAACTCTGAATGATTGAAAGTTCTTTTCAAAGTGTGTGCAGACTCTTATCTCTCATGAAGCCCCAGTCTTTGAGAATGCAATTCATATTTATGTAAAGAAGTGCCATGTTCATGTCTATAATAATGATACTATTTGAAGCTGTAAACAATCTGTTATTAATATTCAGGTCACAAATGTTGATATAGACACTTCTCAGTTAGATTCTGATAAGACTGATAATCTTCATCAGAATCTTTCTCTCTTTATCAGCTGCTGAATCATGCTTCTACAGAATATTTGAACAGACTGCAGTCTCATTAACAGTGCTCTTAAGACTCTTCATGAAATTGTATGAAGTTCAGATGTGAAGAATCTCTGTCAAGATTCTTCATTTGCACTGCTAATCAATTTTGACAAATATGACAGCCCTGCTTATTTGAAATGAGAGAGTCTTAAACTTGTGCCTATCTTTCACAGCTGTCATGACTTTTCTCATGTTAATCAAGTCTGTAGCTGCACACAGTTCTCTATTACAGTTGCATATATCATTACTGTTCATAAATCCCAAGAATTATCACTTAATCAGGCTGTTCTTGATATTTCTGAGACTGAATTTCAGACTGATCTCACATATGTTGCAGTTTCACAGGTCAAAATATATCAAGGTCTTCTGTTCAAATAATTTTTTGATTATTCCAGATTTTGCTGATCTGATGATGAAGTAAGCAGAAGCATGCAGATGCATGAGATTGATTATACAAGATATCAAAGTCAACAGATCACTAAGTTATATCTCTTTTCTTTTTATAGGTCTCTACTAATCTATATTCTATATAACTTTATTCATCTTTTATTTCATCTTTTTTACAGTTCACATTTGATCTGCTCATTCACTCATTCTTCATTACTGCAAGTTCTTCATTCTCTATTCTATCATTCTCTCTATCTGTTCTGCTTAGAGATTCACTGAATTCAATCATTGAATTTGATGAATCTATTGCAGCTGATTCTATTATAATCACTAAACCTGAGAATGAGCAGTTAGTGATCTACAGAAGGTATTAAAACAATTCAGATATTAATCTATACAGCTCAGATTTAATATAATAATATCTTTGATCTGAGAGATTGAGAATCTTCTGAGACCTGTGTTATTGAGGCCTGTATTGCATCATGTGATAAGAGATATTGAATTCTTACAGCTGTTAACACATGTATGAGAGAAAGTGAATGAATCTCAGAGTGTTCTCTTTCTCTTTGAAGAATTCATCTTATCTCTCATCTCTCATCTCTGTCAGCTTTTTTTTTTTTTTTCAGAAATTATATTATTTATCTCTATTAATTCATCAGAAGTTCAAAAAATCATCAATGCTGCTATTATAGCTGAAAACAACATCTTGAAACACATTCATTGTAAGTAAGATTCTCAAAATGATGAAAATTGCAATTCTAACAGTCAGCACAGTTCTCAATAATCTTGTTCAGCCTGCTGAGCTGTCAGCTGTCAATCTCATTCTCAGTTCTGCATCTGTGCCTGCATCTGCCCCTGCTGCATCTGTCAGTTCTAGATCATCAAGTTGACTGTTGACTTGTTTAGCTGAAAGAATGTCTGAGAAGCTGTTAAAGAAGCTACAGACTCTCATTAAATTGTTCTGTGCTTGTGAGTCAGTCTTGTGAAAGAGTTATCAGATCAATACAAAAATCAATATAAATTATAAAGCTCTTCTTCTACAATTCTGTGATGCTGTTTTTGTGATTCTCTGCAGTCACTGTGTCAGAGAAGAAGGCTCTTTTATCATCTGTATCAGTGCTCTGAATTGGTGTCATGAAGCTTGTGTCAGTTGTCATTACAATGACACTGAAAGTCACTGCTCTTATCATAGAAGTGAGTCACTTTTCAACATGAAATATGTCAATTTCAATACAATTAACTAATAGTTATACATAGTCAATGTTAGTAAGAAGAATGATAAAGTGAAAGAAAAGAAGCAGAAGAATGAAAAGAGAAAGAAAGTCAAGAAGAAGAGCTCATTTAAGAAGCATTCTGCAGCTGAGAATACAGAAGCTAGAATCTTGAAAAAATAGATGACAAGTATTGAGTCAGTTGATGATCATGATATTGAGATTTTGACTCTTTGTATTGAAAATGAGGCTCTGTGCATGGAGAATGCAGCTCTGAAGATCAAATTCAGAACTATTACAAGCCTTCTTCAGGCCACTCAAACTGTCCTTGAGAATGACATATGAGCCGGCAGGGCAGAGTGAGATGTTTTTTATTTTTTTCCTTACTTAGTTAGCTGATGCTTTTGCACTGAAAAATGAATCTCTATATATTTTTACAGTTCTATTCCTTCTATTATTATTAATAATAAGTCATAAAATCAATCTTGCAGGGTCTTCTGTTTTGAGCTTAGCTCTGCAATGTCTTTGCATACAGAGGCTTATGTGCATTAAGATATTTTATCTTACAAATCATATGAGAAGAACATAGAGTTATTGTGATTCAAAGATTTCTTTTCTTTTCCAGCGTACAATTACAGGCGTACGCCGGCTTCTTATATATTGTATGCTAAATTAATTAGTGGCTGCTATGACCCCTTTACACTTGTAAGCAAGTTCAGAAGCAGCCGCGTTATTATTCAATGATTGTACATTCTTTCAAATCATATCCTCTCTCACCAGATTCAGTCACGCTCATGTGATCATGTTGTATGTCCTAGCTTCATGCAGATTAGCTCATCACTAGTGTTTCACAATCATGTAATCTATCTCTGATTCAGCTAGTGTTCTGTGTACACTCTCACAAAGAAACTTTCACTATATTACATCTCTCATTTACTAACTTTTCTCATTCTTCAATCATCTTCTTCATCATCATCATCATTGAACACTATCACTATTTCATTTCTACTTCTTCTTCTGTTCAACTCTTTCTATCTGTTCATCTATCACATTGTATGCATTCCTGGCAATGACCTCTCATTCTCACAACAAGTGTCATCATAGTGCTCATACCAGGCAGTTTGTTAGCAGTAAGTGTAATATATTGTGAAACATGACTAGAACTTGTTTATCTTCTAACAATCACTAGAATATATTATCATGAATGACATATCTTCTTCATCTTCTCATATGCTCTTGACTGTTTTTCTTCACAGTGAGTTTCTGATCATGTTTTCTGGCATGATTTTGCATAGACACAGATGCTGATATGTTTATTTTTATTCATGTAAAATCTTCATGCATTGACAGATCTGTGTCTGCTGATAATAGTGAACTCAATGTTGAATCATTGATTGAGAACTTGAAGAACACAATAATGAAGAAATTGTCTGTGCTATGTGTAGCTGAGTCTCTCATGTCTCTCTCTGCCCTCTCTGTTTCTTTCTCTGCCACTTTCCCCTCTCAATCTCCTACACCTGCTCCTGTGTCTGATTCTCCCACTTCTGCTATTTCTGTCCCTGTGTCTGGTTCTCCCGCTTCTGCTACCCCTGCTCTCTCTAGTTCTATCACCTCTGCTTTCATTATCAGCTCTCCTCATTTCAAGAAGATGTTGTATAGACTTGATGAACTGCATTTCTCAGCATATATACTCTTATTCTTCTTGTTAATCTCTAGAACAATTTATTGTATAAAGATGATATATAACACAACTATCTGAAGCTCAGTCACAGACACTGATTATTACATTTATTTTAAATATTTATGATGAGATAATTGTTTATTCATATCAGAGAATTATCTCCTCTCTTAACAGTGTTAAGATTATAAGTCTTTTTCTTTTTATCTTTTCTTTCTGATGCTGATTTTTCTATTCTTAGAGAAAATTATTATGAGTTTTATTATATATAAAGTCATGATGTTCACAGATATTAAGAAACTTTTTATAACTGTAAAGTTCAATATTATAAGAATATCTGCTCTAATGAATTTCTTCAGAATGATAAATCTGTATTAGTCTATTCTCTAACATCTGTTATCTGACTTCATGATGCAGATAAAAGATATCTGTGTTTTCAGAAACAGAAATACAGATGTTATACTCTTTTACATCTGTGAGCATGAGACTTGTATGCCTTGTCTGAGATGTCATTGTGAAAATGAGTTATTTACATACTGTATTCTGCTTTTCACATTTTCTCATATCTCTCTCTCTCTTTCTGAGAAGTCTTGTGTGTGTTGTAATTACATATACAATTCTAAGATCAGCAGATATTCATTCAGTAATTGTTACTCCTGCTTTTACAGTTTTATATACTAATAATAGTTCTTAGTTGCTTCAGTGTCAGAGATTATTTTAATTGAAGATGATAATGCTGCTGAGACTACTCTCTTTCACTCTCAAGCTTCTTTCATCACTTTCTCTCCCTCTTCTGCAGAGAAGGTTGTACACACACTGAGTTATAAGTGTTCAGCTCTGAGTGACTTCTGTCATTGTTTATCTGATTCTGCATCTCCTTCTTTTATTTCTTCTACCTCTGCTCTCTCTGTCCTGACTTCTGGTCCTGCGGGTTCTGTGCTCTTCTTCAATTTTTCTATATATACATGTATGCATTTCTATATTGACATTCCAGCCAATCTTGCAATAAATGACATTAATGTTATATACAGAGTGATAGAGGAATTGAAGATATATGCAGTGTTATTATGAGAGTGACTTACAGCTCTTGAATTTCTTACAAATCTCAAGTTTTGAGATTTTCTTTGTTTTTAGCATTTTTCAGGTGATATGACATTGAAAATAGATTAAATATATAGCATATGAAAATGAATGAGATGTGTATGATAATATTTATCTTTTACAGTCTACTCTTACAGTTAATGATCAATTCATTATTTCTTTTCTTTTCTTACACTTTTTCTTTATCTGCTAGTCACTACTCTTATACAATCTCTATATAATACAGTGTTCAGTGACTAGATTCAGCAGCTTTCATCTTTTATAATTCTGTCTTATGTATTATACTGTCTCTCTTCACTCACTCAGATTACTACAGTGAACAGCTTATTAAAACTAATCTCATCTGATCTCTGAGCATTCTCAGAGATTGAGATGACTTGGTCTCACATGTCTGTGAATATTTCAGATAGTTCATTCTCTGTGATCTCTGTAATTGAACTGATGTAAACAGTTAAATTCAACTCTGAATTCCTTTTTCTTCTATGATCTGACTCATATACAAGTCTGTCACTTTGGGACTGTTCTTTATCACATTATGCTCACTGTCTGCAGTGTGTTATCATACAATCAGCTACAGTCTTATCACTTATTGAAGTATGATATTTATCTGATTTCTTCATTACTTCTCATTCTTTTCTTATAATTATGAAAAGATTAGAATAAGTGAGATTATCTGATTTGTAAGTGTCTATGATTTCTCTTACTTCATGAGACTTTTCAATTATAAGTCTCTTCTTTTTCAACACTGATGATAGTGCTGTGAATAATTATAATTCACTCAGGTCTTGCATCTTTGCTTTCATAAGTTATGAATTATTAATTAAGTTGTATAAGACTCATCTCTCTGATTTCTTCAATGCATAAGTTTTCAGAGAATATAATTTGAGTATTTTATAGAGTTCAAATTATCTAGATTAAAACTTCTCAGAACTCTCATTGCATATAAGAACTCATATTCTCATCTTAAGACTTGATTTCTTAACTAGTGAGTCTTGTATTCTTTTTGATTGAATTGCTCAGTTCAGGAGTAACTCATTAGCTTTTGTATATATATGACTGATCTCTTTCAATCTTGGTTCTATGTCTGTAACTGCTATGTCTGCAACTGCTGTTTTCTCTCTCATCTTTTCTGAAGCATTCTCTGAGATGCGCGGATGCAATTCATACAACAGATAGAATGATGAATGCTTGAAGACTGCATACTGCTGAATTTGTGTGACTAATAGCATCTGACTGAGATATTCATTTCATAATCTTATAGACTTGCTCACTAGATATTTCATCAGCATGTTACTCAAGATTTCATTCAAGTATTTCATCTTTCTATTTATCTGCAGATGATATGATGTTGTTCTATGATATCTTATCTATAACTGACTCATGAAATGTCTCACTGCTTCTTCTATGAGATTTGCATTATTATCAGTTAGAATCTCACACAGTATTTCATAGTTGATATAGATCTCATTATGTAGAAACTTCATCATCATCTTCTCTATCATCTCTGAAACTGCTTTCATAACTGATCAGTCAGTAGTGTAATCAATAGCAGTGATTATTCATCAATTTTCATTTAGTGTTCACAGCAATATGTCTATGAGGTTCATTTCTCATTGTTTAAATAATTGTATTATACACTTCATCTGATGTTGTACTTTCTCACATTCTAATTCTTTCTTAGATTCTTTTACAACCTGACAATTCAGGCACTTGTAAGTGTACATCTGAATATTCTCAGTCATGCTTGATCAGTATACTCTTTATTCAAGTACATTCATGAGTTCAGGACTTTCTAAGTGACTGAATTCCTTGTGCATGTGAGTCATCAAGTCATATCTAAATAAAGATTCTAGATAGGGAGCTTCTGCATATTCTAGATCACAGTAAAGTATAACATTATTTTTCAATTTTCTCAGCTTGAAGTTCAGAAATATCTCTTCTACTACTCTCATGAGATACTTGTCATCTGATATCTTGTCATTCTTTAAGTGAGAGATCATGATGTTTATTCATTCTGATTTCTTGTATCTTCTCAGTGTGTTTAATATGAACTTCTCTTATATCTGATTCACAGAATTCTTACTTATGAAATTAAGTCTGTGACTGATTATATCAGATATCACAGTATTCAATCTCTTTCAGTATTTGATATGAAGATTGTATACTTAGAACTCTGAGATTCAACATGCTAAGTGTTTGAAAGATTTTATTATTAATTATAGATAGACAAGACTTTCATGATCTGTGATCACTGTTATCATATACTCATTGTCAATATATCTATTTCATAACATCAGTGTGTGCTTGATTGCTGGCAATTTCTTTTCATGCACTGAGTAATTGAGCTCAGTGTCTGATAGTTTTCTACCATCATACATCACCAGATGCAGCTTGCTGTTCTTATTCATCTGTAGAAGAATGTCTTCAATAGCTCATTCAGATGTGTCTGTCTTAATATAGAAAGGTTTATCACAATCTAGTTAAATAAGCACTGAGAATATTATTATATATTTTCTCAGTGTGAGAAAAGCCTCTTCATACATAGTATTTCAGATGATTGAATAAAACTTCTTCTTTCACAGATTTACATCTGTTTCTCTTAAGAGATCTGAGAGTGATGTAGATATTCATGTGAAATCCTTGATAAATCTGTGATAATATGAGATTAATTTAAGAAACTATTATATATGATGTACATTTCTCAGCTGCAGTTAATTCACTATAACATTCAATTTCTCTGAAATGAGATGTATACAGTCATCACTTAATACATGTTCTATGAACTCTAACTCTTTTATTTCAAACACATACTTTATTGATTTGATATAGAGCTTATACTCTGTCAGAGTTATAAGTACTTTATTAAGATACTTCAGATATTCATTGTATAAGTTTGAAAAGACTGAAATATCATTAAGATATATAAGACATGAGATTTCATTCTATTTATAAAGAATCATATTCATTATCATTTGAAAGATGACAGGTGCATTTGTCAGACTGAATAATATTATCAGAAATTCAAACTTTTCTCATTGCATATTAAACACAGTTTGTGAGACTGATAGTTTGTCTATACAGATCTGTCAGTATTCTGAGAGAAGATTAATCTTTAATAGATATCAGATATTTTTAACTGTATTCAACTGTTGTTAAATCTGTGACAGTGAATATTCATTCTTGATTATAATCTTATTAAGTACTTAGTAATTAATACACATTCATTACTTCTCACCTGTCTTTTTCATGAATAGAACTGAAAAGTCTCACATACTTGATGAGAGTTATATAAGATTATGTTCTAGAAGATCAGTGATCTGACACTTCTGTTCTTTAAGATGTGTTTATGACAGAGAATACACATTCTGATTGACTGATTTTGCATTCCTCATATCAATCTCATGTACAAATCCTCATTTTAGCAGTAATTCTGATGAAAAATCTGTTCAGAAGATCTTCTCATACTTCTTCAGAAGCTTCTTCATACACTTATTCTTTCATATATTCTTTATCTTGATTTTCTCTGCTTCTGAGTCTCATATGACATACAGAATGCTTTCAGATGAGGTCTTGTGAATCATTCTCTTTACTTATTAATATATAAGCAGATTTAATCCTTCTATATTAGAGACATGAAATGTTCTTCTTATATCAGTTAATAGAATTGTATGAACTGTTTTCTTTCTATCAGTTAACTGCATATGACATGTACATCATTGAATCTGTGAATTGAACCTTTGAAACTAATTAAGTCTGAGAATAAGATTGTATTTCACATTCTGCAGCTCTCACACTCAAATATAGCAAGATCATTTCTCAAAGTATAAGAGAACTCTTACTCTTGCAGGTGATATCAAATATCAGTTATCAGATAATCTTATACATCAGAGATTCTTCACTTAACAGATCTCTTTCAGTCTTCAGATTATATAATTATTAATATATTGTATAGAAGCTTCTGTGTCTATTAACACTTTTACAGTTATCTCTCAATTCTTATCTAAGTATCTCTTATACATTAACATTTCAGGTCTTAAGATATTGAGATAAGTATCTACTTCATTCTCATCTGTATCTCAGTCAGAAGCCTGCTTTCTCTTAATATTTACAGAATTCAGAGAGTCATCTAACACAGACATCTCTTTCATTTTAAAGACTTTTTATAGAATATCAGTGAGTATCTCTGAGCTCACTGATTCTGTTAGTTTTTTAACTCTCTTACTTCTCTTGACTGTGCACACTGAGTGCAATCTTTTATATCATGATTTTGACATCTGCAGTTGAAGCAAGCTCAATACTTATAATATCAAGATTTTCACTCAGAGGATTTCTTTTTCAGAGAATTCAGTTCTTTAGTGATGACATTCAGATCTAGATTCATTGTATTCA